TTTGAACAATACTAGCCCATAACCAAAAGTCAGACTGACAGCAGCAGAGCATCCTGAGGAAAACAGCGTATTTAGAGATTTCCAGGCTAATACCCATGGGACAGGTGTCCAGGAGAAAGCCTGCATGTTCATATATCCACGTGGAAAGCTCCATGAAAGCAGTGCTAACTCTACGGTAGATACTCTGGTGTTCATCCCAAGCTTCATTGCTCCATCCAGATCAAAATGTGGTCTTTCCCTTTATTTCAACCACAGAAGACGTGTCAAGGTTTTAGATACTTTTGACAGCTTCAAGTATTTGTGAACCATGAGTCAGCCTCCCCCAAATCATGTCATTACCATCAAAGAAACTGAAGAGACTTGTGCGGTTTTTCTGCTGTTTGACACTTCCGCACTGAAACTTCTCCCTTCAAACACAAGTGCGAGACCCTTATTTATTTTTAAATGGAAGTTGTGATTTTCACATATTCATCCAGCTTCGCCATTTGTGCCATTAAGAAAATAAGAAATAGCACGAGACCTGTGACAGAAATTACAGGATCTGCCAAAACTGTGATATCCCACAAATAAAAGTAGGTGTTCCCCACAGGAGAGATTTCTGTAAGGACTTACTGCTGCAGGTACAGGGCTCGCTGGGTTTCCACGCAGTGCGCTCAGCACTTCCCAGGCTCAGGGACACCACTTTTCCAGCATAGCAAATACATTCTTTCATTTGTTTCCAAGAATTAAATTTCAGTTAAAAGGAAGCAAGGATCAGATATCCTCCTGTAGCAAGTAGTATGTCAGCTGGCCTATAAACCTTTCCCTGTTCAGCATTTAGCGTAAGATCTTAGAAAACTGTTTTGTGGTTTTCTGCAAGCCATCGAAGCTGAACAGAGCAGTGCAACAGCCTCAGCAGAGCTGCCTGCTCCAGGAAAACAGTTTTAAAATACAGGGTGAGGAAATGCAAACAAACAATTGTGCTGGTTTTTTAATCTGTGAAGAGTTATCCTGTCCTACTGTAATGTACATCAATTAAATTATAAGCACCCACGTAGGGAGAGGGCTGTCATGCTTGTTTATGGAGTTTGTAGCATTTTCACCTGTTCTTTAAGCACAAGCCATCAGTTCCATAAAATACAGAAGGAAATGTGAGTCTTCTGTAGTAGAAATGGGAGCTTGAATCCATTTGGAATCACTGGCTTGCTAACCTTTACGGGTTAACTTAATAAATATGAGGTTTTTTACATGTCTATTTTAGATTTTCAGCTGCTTTCATCTCCTTCCTGCACAGCACTTACTTTCCTTCTGACAATAAATAATGTTCACACGAGCAATAAAACTAACTGCAGGGGGTGCAGCCGTCATAAACTAAGCACAGTCCCAGAGGGATCAGAACCACAAATCTTATTAAAACAGTATGGGTGTTGTTTCCTTATCTTCCTGTAACTTTGCTGCCTCTTGTGTTAAGATGCCTAAATAAGTGATAGCAAACCAGTGCAGTGGCACGGAGACAGTAAATTTACCTGCCATCACTGTTGCTTCCTATGGCTCTCAATGTTCCTGTCATCTCAAGGGTTTTCTTTCCCCCATCAAACATTACTCATCTGCAGAACAGATTCCTTCTCACGCAGTGTGTTGACCCAGGCATCCCAACAAGTGAATTTATTGCAGTCATAGCGTTTGAAAGTCACATGATAAAATTAAAATGCCAGACAGTTAAATCATTACACCCAATTAACATAATCGCAGAGATGTAGAAGAGGAGAGGAGTTCAAAAGAGCTGCAGAGAGGCAGGATCAAGCAGAACCGGATCACTCTTCACACGTGTACCTTACCTGCTCTTGAAGAATCAGGCACGATATTGCTGGTGGAACAGAGCAGTTCCTCCCATGCCTACAGCTCTGTTTAATCCTAGGGTGAGACTTGCTTTCTCTGCAAACTGTTGGTTTAATCATTTGTCCTATGCTCTTTTTGGGAATCAGAGAAGCACCTTCCTTCTGGTACTGGTAGGAGGTTCCCTACTCTCTTATTAAAGTTAGATTTGCCCTTCCCATCTTCTAGAACTTCCTTTGTTCTTCTTCACAGTTTCCTGAAGCTCTAACAGTGATGGTTCAAGTATTGTTTAAATAATTCCTTAGCACCTTAGGATTAATTTCATCAAGGAATCAAATTTATCTTAATATTTTTGACCTTTTTCTTGACTTATTCTAGGCTGCAGTCCTAGTCCCATGATAAAATTCATTGCTGTAACCAGTGAACTTTTCAGTGATCCGTCCTGATGTCATCTCTGGGTCCATTTTTGCTTTTCCCAAGAAATACCCTACCTGTAGTTTTACTCTGTTTCTTCCACTGTATTTTTCTATTCTCTCATCTCCTTTGCTTGCTGTAACTCACATTTCCTCTTACCTTTCTGAACAGCTCCACTCGCCTCTTTTTGTTCTTCTTATCAGTCATTTGCTACATTTCAATCTTTTTGAGTTTTTCCGCTCTGATTTTCATGTCCCCAGCAACCCTGAGGCAGCTGTATCAGATTTTTGCTGTACTCGCATTGGTTTGTCTGGCACGCCTTTAAACAGGCTCTGCGAGAGACTGTCAGCTCTCCTGCACTCCATCTCCCAGGTTGTTTCTGCTCAGATCCTTTGCACTTGTTATTTTGGCATGTCAAGATGTGCCTTTTTGCAGTCCATTTCATTATTCTGCTGCTCTTCCTCCTTTTCTTAAAAATGTGGTGCCACTTATTTTCACTTTCACCCAAATGTCAGTTTTGACTTTTAACAAGTTTTTCCCTGCTATAGTCAGAAGCCACTGCTACCACCTTCGGAAATAAAGCAGCCACCAAGACATTTTCAAGACATCACACTTTTCCAGCAGAGAATTAGACAAATAAAGTCACCCAATATTAAAGATGGTTCTGTTATTACCCCAAGCTTCTGCCAGCTCCTCCTTCTGGACACCCGGCAACCCTTGCTCCATGCTCCTTCCCCCTTCGTTCCCAACTACAGGCATTAATTAACAAGCATTTCATCTCATGCTGAACTGCAGAGAATGTATAGACCTTTCTTCTCATGTGTCCTACCTGGAACAAGCTATCATTTACAAACCTAATCCTAGCATTTGTCCCACAAGCACTCATAAATCTTATTAAGTTGTACCTTTTATTATGTGGAAAGCCTTTAACTTCCCTCAGCATTTAATTCCAGTGCACCAGCAATTTGTATAGGAGCCTCTCAGATGTTTGGGACTGTCCACTGATGCTCTTCAAGCCGTAGTTCCCAAAGAGTCCTGGGAGTGCTCTCCTCTGGCGGATGGAGCCCAGGCACTCCCAGCTCTCCTGCCAGAAAGCCCCACACCAGCAGTGAGGCAGACCCGCTGCCAGCTTTCTGCAGAGATTTCGCATCCTCGCCTCTCATTTTCCACCCTGCCAGGGCTCCAGCTGGCCCGTCTCAGGGACCGCCTTGAGCCAAGATTTGATAACGCACCTTCTCCAAAACTTTCTGAACCCTTTCAAGCCAACGCTGCACATGGGATGTAGGAGTGCATCTGGGTACAGAAGCTGTCTGGGTCTGGCAGGGCACCGAAAAACTGCAGAAAAAATGGTTCACAGCACAAATATGTCCTGATAAACATTGGCTAGTATTAATTTAATGAACTGATTACTTAATTGGCATGAGTGTTGGGAAGTATATCCATTATCCTCTCCACAGCATGTATTAAGAAGTGCCTTGTAGGAGTGCAGACTGGTAACCTATAGAAGAACTGAGCCTATTAGGAACAAATCCAAAGGTCTTTTGCTGCGACTTCCACAAAGCTCAAGTTCAAGCACGTGGTTTTGATCTCTGCTGAGTATGGCCAGGATGGCACAGGGCATTTCTAGGCCTGCCAGCAAGCTACAGTAACTTGAATTTCAAAAGCAAAACTGCAGACCTGAAAGTCTTAAGAGGATACCTGATTCAAAACAAGTGGGACTTACAACAAAACAATGACTGGGGCTTGCTATAAGATCATCATGATGGGAATGTGACAGCACCCATTAGACAGTTGATGACAGGAGAATAAATAAGGCTTCGACTTGAACAAAAATAACTATCCTGTGTAACTATAAGGTACACGTGTGTGCATATAAACAGCAGAATAGGAGTCATATCACTTAACTATTCAAAATGGACAAAACAAGAAAAAAACTCAAACAGGTTGTTTCCTCACACAGCGAACAGATTAATAATAGGAAAAGAAAGCAGATTTCCAAAAAACTATATTGCCCCTTTACTTGCAGTGGTCTCACCAGGATGCTGCAGCAGTCATCGGAGGCACCCTGCTCCAGGAAGGCTGCACCCATTCCCCACTCACCAGCCTGCACGCTGGCTGCTTGCACACCGTGACACCTACACCAGCTGTAGGTGCTCAATGGTATGGTCCCTCGAGGGGCAGGCAGCACGTCCCTCCATATGCTCGCCCCTCTCCCACAGGCTGGCGGGTCTGGAGCTGAGCCTCTGCTGCGCCTGTCTCACGTGGGCTCTAAATGAGGGGCAGGTGAATTAAACAAAAAGTCCTTCCTGATACAAAACAACAGGGGCTTTTAATTAAAAACAAAATTTTATTGTAGTTCTATTGTACTACTGTGTAAAAATATGGGGGATTTTTCATTCTGTAATGCTTACAAAAAACACTGGTTAAAAGAAGGTTGCAATCTTACGAATGTGTAATTATCATCAGTGACTTTGTATGAGGCAAATACAGAAACTAGCTACTGCTTCTCTCTAGACGTACAGCAGAATGATATTATGCTTTTGCCACGGTCACAATACATTGCACACTGTAGAGAATGGCTATGGACTGCCAGCCTCATTCATTGTTTTATTTGTATCAGACCTTGAAGCATTTCTGTTAAATAACCATCTTGGAATATAGAAAACTTTTGAATTCATATGAATAATTAACTTTCTACGTTGTCTTTAAGGCACATATTTCTATCCAAACTTCATTTTGGTCCAGAGAAGGAATTGCATTTCAGCCACCAGCTATCCAGGTATCTGACACCTTGGCTTGTTATAACTATCCCTATGTCCATGGACTTCAACAACATGTATTGCATCCACCGTCTGGACTGCAGCGCCGTGTCCTGGTACAGCGTGTTTCACTGGTGCACTACTGCTTTTCGTTAACTTAGGCAGATGATCACAACGCCCAGGAGCTACGATGTCCCGAGTCCACTCCTCCTGGAACCTGTAAGCATGCAGGGAAAAGTTATTGCTGATTTATTTGCTTTGGTGAGGATACAGAACTTGCCAATCCATTTTATTTGCACATCAGGCATTTTAGCAAACAACTTGGGCTGCAACATATGGACACATTTCTTAAAGCATTAAAACCAGTTGGCAGCAGTGGGGCAAATAATTGCATCTCTGTGAAAGCTGATGCAGACCTTGGAAAGACTTGTGAGGTTGGTTTTATTTGGGGTTGGGGCAGATGCTGTTTCTTTGTTTTCCATCAAACAAGTCCCCAGCTTCAATTTAATGCTACGCTATCTGGAGAATGTGACTAGGAACATTTGAAGGCTGAGACTGGTGCAGAAGGAAAGTCCTTGCTTGGTTAGCGGAGCACTGCTGGGAGCACAGGGGCCAGCTGTGCCCAGTGGGAGCTGAGGTGTTATCTGCGATGCCTGTGCAGCATTGTGCCATCCAGGCTTGTGCTGGCCCTTGACTGCCCGACCCGGCCACCACCTGTCCCTCCCAGCAGGGACTGCAGGCTGGGATGCTGTGTGTGTGTGGGCACCAGTGACAGCCACACTGATGACTGGTGCTCACCAACCCACCCTGCAGCCCACCTTCCCACCCTGGGAAAGGAGGGTTTGCCCAGCTGTGGGCTAAGCCAGTGCAGGCAAATAACCCAGCAGTGGATGGTGCGGGCAGAGCAGCAGCAGTGGCAGGCAGAGATGGCAGAGTTGCTGAAATGATGCTCAGTAAACTACACACGACTCATTCAGGAAAGTGAGGGGATGGGATGGTGTGGTTTAACTCGGCAAGCAGCTAAACACCACGCAGCTCACCTCCTCATCCCCAGAGAGATGAGGAAGAGAATTGGGAGAGTAAAAGAATTCATCAATTGGGATAAACACTATTTAATAACTAAACCAAACTGAAATAGTAATAATAACATTAATAATACAAATAAACTGTAAGAAGAATAGGAACAATGATAATAAAGCAATAATAGCTCACAAACAGCAGCTACTGGCCATATGCCAATGAAGACATGAAAAGGGAGGGGTAAGGCTCAGGAACCAGGACGGCTGCCATCACGAAGTAGAAGGGGAGGAAGGGAGAAGAGAAGTGCCGTCCCCAGTAGACTCTGCAATACATTCTTATTGGTCAGCTTGGATCACACCTGGATCACTTGCCACAGAAAATCTCAGGCTTTTGCCTCTCCCTCCCCCCATCCTCTTGTGCAGAGAGAGGGAAAAAAGCAAACAAACAAACAAATTAAATTCTAACCACAGGTGCAGTGGAAAACCTGAAACATAAACCTTGAGATATATAAGTACTGGTGTGTTGTCACATCAGCCCCAGCACAAACCCAAAACAAAACTCTCACTAGCTACTATAAGGAAAATAACTCTGTCCCTACAAAACCAGGACATGGGCTCAGTGTGTTCTCGAACTCTGCTGCAAGAGGGGTGATGCAGCAGGCTTTAAGCACGTGGCTCTGTGACCCAGAAGCAGGTAAGACGTGGCCCTTTCGAGTTTGTGCCAAATTTTTGCATGTGGGCTTTTGTAAAACATCAGTTCCTGCAGGGCAGCTGTCCGCACACAAGGCCGATGCTGAGCTAACTCACCCCACGTTGCGCCGCTCCGCAGCTGCCTCCGAAGCTGGTGATGCTGGCCACTGAGCGCAGCCACACACCCACACCCAGCACAGCCTGGGCTCATCCTGCCGTGTGCGAAACGCTAGGCAGGAAACAGAAGCTGCGTTCTGCAACTATCAGTTGCAGAAAGGCAGCAGAAATGCTCATACACAAAAAGTGCATACATGTAGGAACCGCAGGGGAATAACAGAATAAAACCAAATAACAGAGGCCTTGCTGTTTTGGTACACAGCAGGTATACTGCAGATACGTCTTTCCTGTAAAGGATAATAAATCTGTCTCTTCACTGGAGAGCTGTGTTACAAACCTATCTGGGGCATGAGCAACAAATAGATAGTGTAAGGGCATCTTAAACCACTTTGATGCGAGAAGGCACTGTACCAGGGTACCAGGATAGTCATCAAGAGGGTGTTCAGATGAGCAGAATTTACCCACTTGTAATTTGGACAACAACAAACTCATCTACTTCTCAAAAAAACCCCAGCCTGGTAACTTTACCCATGTTGTATTGCTCTGTACTGTTTTAACTGTGCCTTTTAATCTTGGTGCCCTCAAGTATCTTGGTGTTGGACACCAAAACACCTATCCAAGTACCCCAGTGGCTTGCCATCAGAAGCTACACAGAGTAATGCTGCAGATCTCACTGATGAAAGAAAATCTTCTTAAATACTTGCTACTGTACATTTATTTTCTTTATGGTATGAGGAACTCAGTTCTGTCCTCTTGAGGTGATAGTCAATAGTTACAAAATAAAAATCAAATCAAAAGGGTGTGCACAGAGAGAAGAACTGGAATAAAGTTTTGCATGGGGTAGCCACAGCCCTTGCAAATATCTTTGCCAGGATTACAGTTCAAATCTAGGCATTCTGGTTACTGGGCAATAGAAATATAATTCGTCTGGGCAGAATTCATCCTATTCTGACATTTTCTCCTATAAAGCTCTGCATTGTGAAACTATGAAATTCCTCACAGTCCACCACCACCAACTCAGAAAGCCAAACTGGCTAAAACTCTACTTGGAGGACAACTGTACAACTTTCCTTAACTCCAGTTTCCAGCTGGGCTACTTCAAAACATCATGGTAAGAGACCTCCCTGCTCCTATCTTCCCTGTGAGGGTGGTGAGCACTGGCCCAGGTTGCCCAGAGAAGCTGTGGGTGCCCCCTCTCTGGCAGTGCCCAAGGCCAGGTTGGACGGGGCTTGGAGCAGCCTGGGCTGGTGGAGGTGTCCCTGCCCATGGAGGGGTTGGAATTAGATGACCTTTAAAGGTCCTTTCTCCCCCCAGACCATGCTGAGATTCTACCTGGAAATGCCAACTCACTTGAGGATGTGAGGTGAGAACAGCCTAGCAAGGCACACAGTGCATTTGATGAGGACAGACTTTATGTGGCAGATGAAGCCAGAGCTCCCATCTGGACAGGGGAACAGCCATCATTGCATTTGTCAATGTCTTTTAGAGGATTCAGAAGAATTTTGCTTTGTGTGACTTGAGAGCTGTTCCTAGCTGGAGGGGAAGGCGCCGTTAGCAGGACATCTGAGGAGTGTGAGAACTCAGAGGAGCGGGGCTGCTGCGATGCTGCCAGCCATGCTGGCACTGGCTCTGAAAAGAGATTTTTTATACTGGAGAACAGGAGGGGATTTTTTTGTTGCTGTATGTCTGGTGACTTTGTACAAGACCCTGGGGTAGTCATGGAGGCATTATGAGAACAATAATAGCAGCGTTATTGAAAGCACATGTTGCTGTGCACACACCCTCCATACTCGTTGAGATGACAATTAAGACTGAAATTCAGAAATGGGTGCAATTTAGCAGCCAGCCATCCTGCCCTTTGTGACAGGGCCCCAAGATGAAACCACAGCTCACTTCCCCTGCCTGATCTTTCTGTGAAACATAGGTATCAAAAGGAACAGGAAGGTTTTAGTCTCTGAAAGGTGGGGGGGGAACACATACACAGAGGAGAGCAATAACAAACTAGAGGAAAAAGTAGAGAATAGAGAAGCTCAAGGTGGGATCACTCACAGGGTGGAACGATCTGTGCAAAAGCCTGAAAAGGAAATGTGCAGCTCTCCTGTGCTGGGTCTCCTCCCCTCCACCCCAAGTGCCGCACAACCAAACATTGCCTGTGTAGGAAACTGTATTAACTGCGTACAGTTGTGCCAAACGGGTCATTTACTCTTTGTGAACATTTTACTCAGTGAACTGGCTGCATTACCAAACGAAGCATTAACTACCACAGTGGTGATGGGTCCCACCTCTCTCTCTGTGGTCCTGGGAGCAGCCCATGGGCGGCTGTCTGCAATTTCAGCCTTGTAGCTGCGTTGGGGGCCACACTGACACCCCTGCAGACACTCTGGTACACTGTGCCGATGGTCCCTCACACGCACCGCAGCTTTGGGACAAGGAGCTGCAGGGCTGAGCTCTGCACGCCCCAGCTTTCAGGGAAACAAGGGTGATCGTGAAAGAAAACACATGGATCTTGTGGAGGCAGCAAAGGGTCCAGCTCTGGTGAGACTGCTGACCTTCACAAGCACCTTGGTTTGTGAAATTGGTTTTCCCAGCACCTCTAACATTCTTGCACTAAGTCGCTTCTGTAGATGTTTTGCACCCTTAATTCTTCGTCTGGTGCATTTCCTGGAAGTCACTGTAGGTGTCCTGGTGGGTTTGTCTTGTTTTACTTAGGTTTTCCATCAAGCTTTGCAGCAGCTTGTCTCTCAACATGGGTATTTATTTCTTCAAGTGTCGTCCCCTTTCATGGTGGTAAATCTACACCACACTACCCTGCTAGTAGAAGGGCATCTCTCAGCTTTTTAATCTCTTCTACTTGGGCGTTCAGAGGGGAAAAGCAGCTGGGGAAGTGCCCTCAAGGGGGCAGAGGAGGGGTAGGAACGTGGCCAAGTGTCCCATCCCATCTTGTCTTTGACTTTCAACCATGCTCCTCAGCAAGCCAGGGCAGACATGAATATTTTTTAGAGCAACATGAGTTTCTGATTCGCATATTCCCTGCAACCCCTTACACAAGGTAGTGGAAAACTTCAACCACTGTAACCACTAAATCAAAGAGAAAAAGAAAGCACATTTTATCTTACTGTGGAGGCCAAAGCTATGAGCTAATTTCACCAACCTTGCATATGACTTCTCAGACTGACTGAAAATGCCGAGTTGTCTCTCCTAAGAGCATGCTGGCTTTTTTGCAAAACCTTTTCACTTGGACATCTTTGTTGTTGGATTGTCTGTATTTGCATTATGCCAGGTACACTGGTAATACATCTTGTAGTCAGAAAGGGCCTCAGTACAAAAATTTCAGATACTAAAAATATCTTCTGTGGAAGAATATACTAGCCTGCTTCTCTGCAGAAGAGGT